GAGTCTCAAGAAAAGGAAGGCTGCAACAAGAGTAGCAGATGTCTTCCCTCCAATCAATGTGTGCAGTCCTCCTTTAGATAGTGCCTGACAAATAGCTAAACAGCTGCAAGAAAAAACAGCTCAACGGGCCTCTCAGGGTCATAAATTAACCCAAACAAGAACATGCAGTTAATTGTGAGACTAAACATGCATTCCAGTGTCCTTCACTAACAGATTGCCGTAAAAGGGTAATGAGTGGGGCTATTTATGACAGGAGGCAACAGGTTCAAGCTGCACCAGGGGAGGTTTAGATTAGAGATTAGGAAGAATTTTTTTCCCCAAAAGGGTGCTCAGGCATTGCAACAGGCTGCCCAGGGCAGTGGTGGAATCACCATACCTGGAAGTGTTCACAGATGATGTAGATGAGGCCCTCGGTGACATGGGTTAGTGATGGACTTGGCAGTCCTGGGTAATGGTTGGACTTGGTGATCTTAAAAGTCTTTTCCAAACTGGCTGATTCTATGACAGCCCAAACAACGACCATAACCCCCAGGCACTGCTCCTCAAATTCAGTGCCTGTGCCACAGCCTTGTCTAATTACCATATGGAACGAGTAACGGGAATTGGGTGGGCATTTCACAGAATAATGAAGAATATGTCTAAAATAAAGGTATATAAGATCAATCTGTCTCTTCCTGATGTGTGTGGTAAGCAGAGCGATCCTCTATGCACCCAGTACCATAATAAAGCCATGCTGGCTGTCACCAAGCACCTTGTTGTTTTTCATGTGCCTTAGCATGCCTTCCAGGAGAATCTGCTCCAAGATTTTGCCAGGCACAGAGGTGAGACTGACTGGTCTGTAATTCCCTGGGTCACCCATTTTCCCCTTCTTGAAAATGGGGGTTATATTTCCCTTTTTCCAGTTGTCAGGAACTTCACCTTACTGCCATGATTTCTCAAATACGATGGCCAGTGGCTTAGCAACTTCATTTGCCAGCTCCTTCAGGACCTGCAGATGGATTTCATCAGGCCCCATGGACTTGTGTACATTCAGGTTCCTAAGATGATCTCAAACCTGATCCCGTCCTACAGTGGGCCTAAGGTCTTCATTCTCACAGTCCGTGCATCTGCCTTCTAAGACTTAAGTGGCATGGCTAGAGCACTTGCATTGAGAACCTCAGCCTTCTCCAGCATAAGAAGGACATGGAACTGTTGGAACAAATCCAGAGGAGGCCTTGAGAATGATCAGGGGCTGGAGCACCTCCCTTATGAAGACAGGCTGAGAAAGTTGGGGCTGTTCAGCCTGGAGAAGGCTGCGTGGAGACCTCATAGCAGCCTTCCAGTATCTGAACGGGGGCTATAAGGATGCTGGGGAGGAACTCTCCATTAGGGACTGTAGTGATAGGACAAGGGGTAATGGGTTAGAACTTAAACAGGGGAAGTTCAGGCTAGATATAAGGAAGAAGTTCTTTACTGTGAGGGTGCTGAGACACTGGCACAGGCTAACCAAAGAAGTGTTCAAGGCCAGGCTGGACAGAGCCTTGGGTGGTAGGGTCTAGTGTGTGTGGTGTCCCTGCCCACGGCAGGGGAGGGGGCGAACTGTATCTTAATGTCCTTCCCAACCCAAACCATTGTGGTTAAAGAGCTCATTTCCCGGCGCTCGGTGGCAGCGGGAAGGAGGGTGAAGGCAACGCACGGGGCCGGCACTCACCCCGCATCCTCAGCAGCAGCTCCCCGAAGCCGCCCCGCTGCTGCCGCCCCGCCGCTGCACCGGGCACCGCTCTCCCCGCCTCCTGCAAGGAAGGGAGAGACGCTCACCAACCCGCCCGGGCCGGGGCAGCCCCCGGGGCCCAGAGGGACGGGCCGCACCCGCCAGCGCTCGGCCAGGTCCCGGTTCTCGGCGGTCCAGGCCCGCAGGCAGCCCAGCTCCGGGGCCGCGCCGCGCCGCCGCTTCATGGCCGCCGCGCCGCTCCCGCCTCCCTGCCCATTGGCCGGCGCCCTTCTCTCCGCCGCTTCCGATTGGCGAGCGGGATAGAGCGGAAGCGGCGGTCGCCAAGGCAACAGTCACGCGTGAAGCGGAAGAGGTCCCCGTCCCGCCAACCGCGACGGTGGTCGAGGAGGAACAAACCTCGTTGGTGAGCGAAGCCTCCCTGAGGCTGACACGCGGAGTGCCCTGCCGGCATGCACGCTGCTATAGACGGGCTTGAAGGAGGAGACGAGCACGGTCCGCTTGGATCTCACGGCTTTATTCAGAGACATCAGCTTTGCAGCTGCCCAGAGCCCCACACCACCATCAGGCAGCAAATCTTCCCCACACCACCCGATTAATTAATTAATTAGTCGTTTAATAACGAAGCGCCTGCTCCCCGCAGCCTCCCGCACACCGAGGTCAGTCAGCGGTAGCCCAGCATGGCAGGCGGGGGCCCGTGGGCCATAAGCCGCCACGGCTCAGCCTGGACTTGAAGCTGTCGGTGAATGAGCGCTGCCAACTTGCCTGTTTTAGGGTTATTCTGAAGGAAAAAAAAGTCTCTGCTTCCCAGCAGAGAGTCCAGAATTCCCTTCCACCATCCAGGTGTAGCTGCTGAATGGAGACAAAAGCACTAACAGCCAAATATATGCAAAGATCCCCAGGAAAGTGCAGCACCACGCTGCATGCAGAGCTTCCAAATTGAGTCCCAAACCTGGGTCTATCCCCTTAAGTATTTTCCCAAGTAGGGTACTGAGGCACAGAGAGGTTAATAAAGAAAAATAAAACAACCATCGTGCTCCAAAACATGAGTGAGTCCTGTCAGAGCTTGAGGAAAGGCAGCGTTCCCAGCCCTGCTCCTGCACACAGGCACTGCTGCTTCCTGAGGGAAAGGGAAACATGCATGCCTAGACCATGCCTTGGCATCAGTAAGCAGCCTGAAGCGCTAAGGGAAGAAGAGAGAGATGGGATGGAGAAACAGGTGTGGGAATGGAGATCCATGAAGCCCTGACTTCCCCGAAGCATCCCTATGGATTAGAGCAGGAGATGCTCCCAACAGCCACAACCTTTTTGCATAGGTGGCAGCTTTTGGTTGCCATTTTCCATGTGGCATAAATGAGACACAACTGATCCCAGCCCCATGCCAGGACTATGGGACACACCACCCCAGTGGAGCTCTCCCTGCCCAGCAAAGGAGCACACACACCACCTGCAAAAGCCCAAAGTGCAGCAGGTTTGTGGAGTGTACAATGGAAACAGTGCTGCTGAGCATGAAGATGACACATCCCCTGCACACTCAGACAAGGGACACAAGGACCAGAACAAACCGTCTGGAAGAGCTGCTCCAGGAGAGACCCAGCAGGGTTCAATGACTAAAACAGTCAATGAAAGAAAGCAAGAGCATCTCCAGCCCTTGGAAAACTTGTCTTCTCAAATCTGAATTCTTTGGTGTTGTAGCCAGTCTGCCCTGGACGAGCAGCCAGCACTCCTTGGCATCCCTACAGTGACAAGAATGTAGACTCATAGAATGGTTTGGGTTGGAAAGGACCTTGAGATCATCTAGTTCCACCCCCCCTGCCATGGGCAGGGACACCTCACACTAAACCATGCCACCCAAGGCTCTGTCCCCCTCCCCCAACACATCTAGTTTAAAGCATCCTTGACCAGTCTGGCAAGCCTCCCACCAAAACCACCCTTTGTCCACCAGCCTCCAATAGACCTGGCCTCCCAAATCGAGTCCCACGTTCTAAATACCCAACCCCCTGACTATGGCACCACTGTTCTAACCATTTGTTAACCTGGCAAATCCACCTAGCCTTTTTAAGGTCCTTCCCTTTATCCTGAAGAATTGATGAAAAGACTGTCAGAGCTCCAGAGCCCCTAACCACCTCTCCAAGGGCTCTGTAGTCCTTCTTAATGTTCTCCAGGCTACTGCTATCTATATCGTTAGCACAAATGTAGTAAAAGCTTTGTTATTGCAAATTTTCTGAGTCGAGATGAATGTGTGTGTCTTCTGCTGTCCCCGCTGCTCCACCCTGTGGCCATAATCCCCGCAGGCAGGCAGAGAATTATGGGGAGGTGGAGAGGATTCCCAAGTGCCTGCTGAGTGCTGTGACCACAAATGATGAGCAGGGGAAGGCTCAGCAGCATTATGGTGACCACTGGAAGAGGAACTAGTCCCAGAAATGGCCCAGAAGAAAGCCCAAGGGCCTCGGTAGCAGCTGTGGGGACATCAGAGGCCAATTCTACAGCATTAGTGACCATAATGTTTTCTGCCAGCACAAAGGCATCCAAGGCAGCAAACTCCTGACCAGGTTATGAGGTTACAAGACCTATTTGGGATCCAGCCTTGGGGTTTAGCAACATGTATTATCTAGACTAACTTCACATCAGATGGAAATTTACTGGGTAGCTGCTAGCTCCATCCCCTTCCTCCTCTCCACACCGATGCACCCCTCACCCATCAGCATGGTCCCTCAGCACCAAGAACCATACAGGCACCAAGAAGTCACAGTATACAGCAAACCACCTATTTTTAAGGGTGGGACTCTAAGCCTCTCTTGTCTGTGGGCTGATTTGTTCCTGCCCTCTCCAGCTTCCCCACTGTGCAGCCCAGGGAGTCATGCCATCTACAAGACAGTCCCTGGTTGTGTTGGGTGAAATGATGCAGGGGAGATGTGAGGCTGAGGTGGAACAGCACAGCCAGCAGATCAGGAGGCCAGGCAGTGGAAACTGAAGCCCAAAGTTAGAGCAGTTTAAGGCTCCTTGAAATCTCACTCTAAAGCCTGAGCAAGCATATTGCAGGGGTTAAAATACAAGGGCTGTCTGCCCTCAAAAGCCATTTTCCACAGTGACAGGGCACCTGGGTGTAATGGCAAGAGCTGAAATGATGAGAGAGGTGCCGTGACACCTTCCCCAGGACACTGCAGGAACCTGTAACTCCAGGAAGAGCCTGGAGTTATGCTATCAGTCTGCAGTGAGGAACTCAGACAGGGGCAGTGACAGTGCAAGAGTTAAAAACCAAATGGGATCAGAACAAAAATTAGCACAGGAATCCCAGGCAAGCAGTACTAAGCTCTTTCCAGAGCAAAAAGAGACTGAAGTTTTCATAGCACCAATTAATGTCACACAGTGGTTCAGGGCAGTAAGGATTTCCAGCTCCCATCAAAACTGCAGGGGGAACTTAGCTGGGATGTGTCCAGAAAGCATGGTCACTGTCTTCAGTCTTTGCTCATGAAGATACACACTGAGCAGCTAAGGGTGGGTTTGGGGTAGCTCACTTGTGGCATGAAGTCCCATGCAGAACACTGAGGTCAAGAGTGAGATAAGCACCAGACACTGGAGCTCATGCCAAGGCCACTCCTGCCATTGGGACAACTACTCCAGACTCCTCTTTCCTTCTGACCAGACCCAATAAGGGGATGAGCCAATGTTCTGTCACTGCATCTTAATTGTTCACAATCAACAACTGGCATTCAGCAGCACAAGCTCGGGAAGACATCGGAAGCCGTGGGTGCACAGCCTAGCCCATGGGGACACCAAGAGGCCGAGACCACAAGTGCAGAGTTCCTTGGTCATGGACAGAGTTCTCCCCGCTACCACTCCCTAACAAGCTAAGCCTGCTTCAGGCTGTATGAGGTAGCCCAGAGCACTCCCGAGTGTCCTCCCTGTGGCTGAGGAAGAAAATGGGAGCGAGTGTAGGGCAGGAGGGGCCTCACTGCAGATCAACCAACTCACTTTACAGAGGAGCAGCTGTCAGTGAGACCCCAGGAACTCTGTGCATGTGTAACCATGTGCGCTTTGCTTCCAGCATGAAAACTGAGCATGTGAAGAGAAGTAGTGGCTGAAGAACCTTCTTTCTCCTCCCAACCTCCTCTCCCCTTGTCAGCAGGCCCCTTTCCCATGAATCACTGTCTCTGCACAGGCACAGTGACACCTTGCTGACCACTGAAGCTGCACAATGGGTACAGTTGTCAGGAAAGTAGCAGCAAGACCCCCCACCCCCCCACTGGTGTTTCTCCAGAGAAGCACTTCTTGGGCTCCTGCAGCAGAGTCCTCCTGCTGCCAACGAACACCCATAGAGAGCTCTGACCTCCACTGCTGAGAAACACCATCATGACGAGCGGGCAACAGTTGGCTCCAGTCCTTTTGTGCAGCGCTGAGGCAGGGAGCTGGGGATAAACCCTGTCTGCTGTCGGCAGGCACTCATACCTGCTGGCTCATGGATCCTTCCCAGCCCCAGGGAGGAAAGGAGACAACCACAGCCTCGGCTGATGAGCAGGTCGGGTTCCCCACATCTCCAACGCTACCTGAGCTGAATCTGGCTGAACCAGGTGCTGACAGCACAGTCCACACGCATCACCAGGGAGATCCCCAGCAAGAGGCAGATGCTGCTCACCACAAAGCCCAGTGACTCAAAGAGGAACCTGCAGGTACAACAGATGCAGTAAGGGTATGGCAGCTGAAGTGCCTGCAAAGACAGGCTGCTACCCTCATTCCCAGCAGGCTGGTTATCCTGAAAGTGAGAGGCTGGTAGAACCCCAGCCCCTAAAACACGAATTACATTCACTCCCCAGCAATTGCTGCCTGCAAGCTGTAAGCCAAGCATGCCTCTAATTTAGAGGCCATTCAGGACACCCAGGTGGGCTTCTTAATTCCTCAGAGGTTAAGGCCACCCAACACAAATCTATTAGGTTTACTAGTTTAGCATTTCTGAGTTTACCATTTTTGGTCTGGTATCCCTGCCTTTGGCTCTCTGCCCTGAATATTCTTAGCTTCCAGGTGGGTTCTGTATGTCTTTGGAAATCAAGATAAGGAGAGAAATTTCCAGGCTCTAGTTCAAGTCCAGCTTCTGAACTTGAAGCAGGAATTAGTTAAGAACAGTCCTGTAGCCTCTGCTTAGGCAGGAAGAGTCAGAAGACCGATCACAGGGTCTCTTCCAGCATACTGTCTATGAACTCTAGTCAAGACATCAGGGATAGAAGACCTAACCCAGCATCAGAGCAACTCCTGGGACTTACTTGGGGGCAAAGACCTTCCAGACCATGAGATGCCTCCTGAGAATCATAGCTGCACAAACACAGGCCAGAAGCTGTAGGGGAGATCATGAAAAACAAATTACAGATTACCCTGGAGAGACCTCCTGGGCCCTCTGTTCACATCTGAAGGTTCTACTAAACTGTGCACACCAGAAATAAGCATCCCAAACAGAATTCCCTTCCATTGTGTCTTCAAGTCAGGAAACAGCAGCAGTTTGAGGCACACGCAGGCCCTCCTGAGGCCAGACTGACACAGTACAGAGGAGGACTCACTGTAGCTAACCTGACCCAGTATTTCACTCAGAGAACACTCCTGCTCTCTGCTACAGGGCTTGACCCCTCCCCTGCACTGTGTCTGGTCTGGACATACAGGAAAATAATTTGAAGAGCTAAACCCCAGAAAGTTATTGGCTTTTTTCACAGGATTAGATTTCTGGTGTTTAGCCCCCCATATCACCACAGCACAGGATCAAATGAAAACCAGAGCTGGTATAAAATAGACAGGCATGGTGGGGAAGAGAGGCAGCAGGATTACAACCCTGCAGTTTCTGAACAGATGTTCCCCCTCTGAGCAGACAGGTATGAAAAGCAGCTTAATCTGCATTGTGGCTTCTGTGCTGGAGCCTTTCTCAAAGCACAGAGCAAACGGCATGGTTGAAAAGAGGACCTGTGCAGCTGCCCTTCCACCAGACATGTCACCCTTAGGTCTGTCTGTGCCCTGCCTGACCCGTTTCCCTCATCAGAGTGCCCCACAATTCCCACAGCACACCAATTTCCTGTTAGACAGCCTTCTCTGCAGCCTTCCCACCTCTGTCCATACCTGTGCCCCAAGGACAAAGAGGTACTTCAGCCCCAGCTGCAGCAGAGCAGTGGAGAACTTCTCTGGGGACTCCCGCAGCCTCATCTCCATCATGTGCTCCTCCACCTCCTGCAGTCCCTCTCGGGCTTCCTTCTTGGGCTTCTTCTTCTGCAAGCTGGGCATCTCACACACAAAGGGCCAAAGCAGGAGCAGAGGGCAGCCAACTACCTCAAGGACAAAGGCACATGAAGTTACTCAAGCCCAGGAGGTAAGGAGCAGTCTAGGCTCTGCCATCATGCCCTGGACGTGCAGGAAGCATATACCCCAGCTCCAGTTTGCTGTTCAGGCATAACTGCATGGAGGCTGCAGGCCACGGGCATCTTTGTGGCCCCAGAAGGGGACAGTGAAGATACTGCTGTTCAGCTGGTGCTGGAGCCTTCATCGCCTCGTGCTCAGCCTGCAGGCCTCCAGACAAGGCAAAGCAGTGAACCATGTCTGCTCAGGCTCAACAGCCCAGGAAGAAAGTGATTTACCTGCAAAGAGGATATGGGAGGCAAAGGTGTTGGCGCCCACCAGGACAGCAGGCAGGAGGTTGGTGCTGTGGTCAAGGTGGAAGCCCACAAAAGCTGCATTCCAATGGATGGCTGGGAAGACGGGTTGGTGGCCTGTGGAATAGAAGAACTGGGAAGCAGCAAGGAGCCAGGAGATGACTGCATACCAGGGCACAGAAAAAGGCTCTGAGAGACAAAAAAAAAAATAGAAAGGGAGGGGGTAGAAAGATCAACACTGAGGAACAAGACAGATCCATAGCAAAAATAAACAGCTATTGACTTTTCTTCTAGGTTCCTTTTCCACGCTGTCTCCTTTGAAGACAGAAACCAGTAATGCTCCCATCACAGATACAGTGAATGGCCACGCATGCCTCTGCTTCCCTCTGCTGGAACCAGTCAGCAACAGTGGGGTTTGATGCCTGCTTGCACTCTGGGGAGAAGGGATAGGTATAGAGCCCCCTTCCCTGACACAAGGGACAACTCCTCTTCCTGCATTATGTCCCTGCTGCATGCATCTCTGCTAGAGGATTGAAGCAGCTTCAATACAGCTAGGAGGATCCCTGAGGATCAGTGTAACACCACCCCCCAAGAGCAGACTGGACCCTGCTGCTCCTGCTGGAAATAAGACACAGTCACAGCAGGTAAGGCCCCGGCTCTCATACCCAGAGGATGCTCTACTGAGCCCTGACTCACCAGCATCTCCAGCAAGGCCTCTGGCACGCGTGTGGATGTGCAGCAGCACGAAGGCCTCCAGGAAGAGGAGCAGAAAGGCAAGACTCAGCCGCTCACTGTGCAGAAGCATCAGAAGGAAGCCCAGTAGGGTGAGTGCTATGACCAGGGCTGCTGAATACACGCTGCCCAACCCATATGCTGCGATAGTGGTCCTGCAGCTGCCCCGCTCCAGGCGGCTCTTCTGAGACTCCTGCATCCTCTTGTAGATCTGAGGGATGACGTGGAGGAAGTCCACTTCAGAGCTAGGAACTCCCAGGTATGGAGTGACGATGGATCCTGCCGACTCCCATGTGTCCTTTGCAAACACTGTCATCGGATTGCACAACAGGAGCAGCAGCCCCACGGATGCTAGCCCATAGACAGCCCATGGAAAGGCAAGAACTGCCACTTGCACCAGCTCCTGCAGCTTACCTAGAGAGTCATCAGCGCTGGAGACAACTGCCCAGTAGCAGGCAATGCAGAGGACCACCAGTGGGAAACCCCAGCGCACAAAGAGCACAAGGGGGTCTGAGCTGTTGAGGTTGCCGTAGTGTCGCAGCCAGCTCCGCACTGCATAGACCAGCCCGGCCAGCAAGGCCACACACAGGAGGTAGAAGAGGTTCTTGGCCCGTGTATTTTTCAGGCTGGCAAGCGGGGAGAGGAAAAGAGAAGGCCGGCACTGAGGAATTTCTTCTCGGCACTGGTGGAAGAAACCAGAGAGGCGCACGCAGACCAGGAGCATGGCCACAAGGCACAGCAGGTACCACATCTCTCGCCGGTAAGAACTAAAGCCAAGGACCTGCTGCTTGGGGCCTTCTGGTACAGTCAGGCGGCCATCCCAGTGGAGCTTCCCTATTAGCAGCATCACCAACGAGGCCAGCAGGAATGGGGCCACCCGGGCCTCGGCCACGACAAAGCTATCGGAGAACATGGCTCCACAGCGGAAGAGCAGAATGCCCATGGGGAATACCAGCCCCAGCCAGGCTCGCAGCCTCTGCCTTAGACCAACGCTGGCCAAAGGTGGCTGACTGCCCACCAAAAGGCCTCGCTTGGGATGCCGACCCCACCAGTGCCAGAAAAATCCCATCTGAGAAGCAGCGGCTGTGCACGAGGACACCAGGAGGAGATCCGGCCCCTCCTGGGTGAACACATGGGCCAGCCCAAGCAGAACAGCCACCACAAGGCCCCAGAGCAGTGGGTACAGGAGGCAGCTGCGGTAAAAGGAGTCTGATGATGCAGCCAGCTCTGCAGCCATGTAGCAGAGCAAGCAGGACGCAGCAATAAGGGTGCAGCCCCCCACCATACGCAGGGAGTTGAAGCGGGCCCAGGATTGGGTGCACACAGCCCGTGCCTCCCGCAGGTAGAGCTGGAAGCGACTGATGAGACTTCCCAGCCTGGACTCCAGCTCCGGAGGCACCAGCGTTGCCCCCTGCACCTGGTCCAAGAGCTGAGTGTGCTCCTCCACAGCACCAGAGAACAGCTCCTGCAGGTGCTGGAGCTGCTCTGCTGGCAGGTCCTGAGCCACCAGTGAGTAGGACTGCAGGAAGCGGTCCACCTGTGGGAGAGGACACAGGGTTAGACAAGGACACTGGGAATGGGATTCACTGCCTTACACAGACCCCTTCAGAATGGAAACAGGCCCTCTATGCTGTCCCCTGCAGGAACAGACCTAGCTCCAGCTGCATCACCCAGAGGTGGTCACCTATATCCAGGATATTACTGGCAGGAACACAGTCCCTCTGGCAAAGTGACATCCCTCTCAATTGAAGTATCCACGCCAACAGCCAAACTGGCTCCTCTCAGTTCTTCACTTGCAGGTGTACCTCTGGTAACGTTGTGCATCACCAAGGGCTTTTACACAGTCTTTGTATAGGTCCCGCGAAACTTTGCGTCATTACTAGCCATTAGTCTGCACTCAGTGTTGATCTTATTTTGTTTGCTGAGGATAGATATCAAATTAAAGAGCTTATAGTGGATCAAATCAAACTGTTCCCCCTTCTTCAATACAGGCACATTAACACACTGTAGTATAGTCTAAGGAAAGTTTGTTTTGTTTCCTTCTCCTTTCAAGAAGACAGCAGTAAAGGCAGCTATGACCCCAAAGTCATAAAAAAAGTCTTACAAAGGCATTACCAGGGCAGGGCGTTCTTACAAACATCCAGCTGCATAACAGTAGATCTGCTCAAGCCTAAAAATGCACCCAGGTCTTCACATGCCTTACAGCTGCCTCGGAGCACAGACAGAATCAATCTGTTCCTGTCCATGAATGGCAAATGTATGCACCAGCTCTCTTGCAGGCCTGCATGACCTCCCTGGTATGCAAAATCTTCTTCAACACCAACACGATCGAGCCAGAAACCTCAAATGAGTGCAAGTATTTAAGCAGGCAGACTGGATAACAATTAATTTATACCTGATGATAATCAATATCCTCAGTAACATAAACTATCACCTCCAAATGACAAAGCACTCTGCTGACCTATAAATACATAGAAGAGAGGCTGAACATTTCTTTCTTCCCATCAGCAGCCATATCCTCTTCTCACTGACTTGCACCAGTGGTGTACACCTGGCACACTGGGAAGCTGGCTGGAGGAGTTATTCTTGTGCTCCTTGCAATCCAGGAGTCCTTCCAAGGCACACTGGCACTTTGCTGACATGTGGTCTGCAACACGTGTGGCAAATCTGGTTCCGAGGCATGCTGAGAGCCACAAGACAGCCCTCACGTCCTCCATGGAGGCTCCGGCTTTCCCTGGCACGCGGCCTGCTTCATTGCCTGGACTTCTTTTACACCTGGTACAGTCACTCTCAAATTTTGTCATTCAGCTTTTGGGGTTCTGTATTTTGTTGTGCTTGCTGTTAACTGTTCTTTCCCTATCCCACTTTACTGTCACGTTACATGGTTTGTATTTAGTTACTGTTCTCCTTTTGCTACTGATCTAGAATAGCTAACCCTGTTTCTCCTCCAGAACTGAAGCAGCATCAAAACACCCATTTATGCTTCTGAATCCCCACTAATGAGACTTGCCCCTAGTCATCTTCAGCCTTGAGGAACCAGCCTCTCCACCAGCCTCCCCAGTTACCAAATCCACCTCCTACTACTGGAAACCAACCCTCATCCTGAAGTGAATGCCACTTTCACTGTCAGTATTTTCCTCACCACTGCACTGACCACCAAGCACTAAAAGGGTATACCTCAATGGGTTTACTAAATGGGTATCTCATTTTTCTGTTTGGAAAATGGTGCCACTTTTTACTGAAGAAAACACCGCAAAAAGGTAACTCTTCAAAATAAGTTCTCCATAAAGGTAACACCATGTCACTGCCCCACCCCCACCAAACAGAAGAGGTTTGGCCTTAAGCAACCATTCCTTCCCCTCTCTGGTTCAATGGGAGACCTGCTGTAGGGCGTACCTGCTTGGCGTTGATATGATAGACTGAGAGCTGCTGCAAGGCTGCAGACATAGTGTCGCCGTCCCCAGAGAACATCTCAGCCATCACCTCCCCTATGTTACTGTAGGGGATGGGCACACCCAGCAGCAGGGCCACAGTGGGCACCAGGTTCACCTGGGGAATGGCCTCGGGCTCCTGGAGAGACAGGGGAGGAATCAGAAATTCAGGAAGCACACAGCAACACAGCTTTTCACTTGGGCTGGAGGGTGATAGGGAAGATAATCCCCTCCTCAGAGAGGAATCTGGGGAAGCCAGGAGTGGAAAACGCAGAGGCAGCCAGAAGCTCTGGAATCCCCAAGGGCCCTGTGGAGGGGAAGTCTCTGGCTATGGCCTTGGCTGTCTAACAGCTCACCTGGCCTCACCTCAAAACCCCTCAGAGCCTGAACACAGGTCCCAAACCCTTTACCCACCTGCATCCTTTGTCAGCTCTTCCACTGTTCTCCTAGGTAAGGTGACAGACTCCTCTCAACCTAAACAATCCCACTAGAACCACTATGCTCTGTAACCCCAGGATGCAGTTTTCACCCCGGATGCCACCTCAGGCAGTGACCACTAAGCATCAGCTTCTTCTCACCTCTGGAGGGCCAGCGGCAAATAGGGGTGTTCTGCTGTACACAAACAGTGCTGCATTCACTTCCTTCTCGCTCTCGCCACCATGGTCTCCGGTCTCCGTCATGCCATGGTCCCCAGCCACCAGAAGAAGGGTGTCATTCCCCAGGTGATCCACCAAGGACCTGTCACCAGGATAAGGCAGGTTAGCTCCTACCTCGGCACAGGCCCAAAGAGCCCAAATAAGAGACGACATATGCCCACCAAATCTGCCTGCACCACAGAGGTGAAGTCCACAAAAAGACATGGGCAAAACTAGGTGCTGATGCAGAGCTGTAACTGAGCCAGGTACAAGGGCAACAGATACTTTAAAACCAAACTGGAAATGCAGACCCCTGAGCCAGAGGGGACTGATCTTGCTTCGGCCCCAGTGAACGGCGGCTGGTTCCTCAGTGCCTTCAGGGATTGTGACAAAACACAACTCGAAGGATTCCCAACAGGAATGAACTTTAGGCTGCTTCTATTTGGGTCCTATATATTGCTTCATGTTGTGTGAGCAATCTCTTACTTTTAAGGAAAAAAGGGGGGATTTGTCCCTCAAGTATGCTGTAGGCATGCACTCTCAGGTGCAGAAGGGCAAGTTACTGCTCCTTGTAACATCAAAAATTAAAGCAGTCCTCAGAGTTGACAGATGCAGCATTTTGAGCTGAGGCATGGCTGTGTGATCAGGATTTCTGCCCTCTGACCACAGAGGTGCAGATCATGGGCCTGCGAGTAAATGCATCATTCCCAAGCCAGGGCTCTCCAGCTGATTTTCAAACAATAGCCAGCCTCAATGTGACAGTCTCCATTTCAGAAATTGAAGGAGTGAGACTCAGCCATACTGCAGCTGCACCACCACCTGATGGTTTGGTTGAGAACCAAAGCTCCAAGGCCTGAATACAGCCTTACCTCTGAAACCAAACCTCTTATGAACACGTGTCTATGCAACCAAGATTGCGCCACAGCTGGGGTTTCAGCTGCCACTGGCCAAAGCCATTCTCCTTGTAAGAGTCACAGTAAGCATTCCCTGTTGCACTCTGCATCCATAAATCCCCTAGGAAGACCCCACCAGCCTGCTTGAAGGAAGAGGCCAGCTGGCAACCCCGCACCACTGCACCCATCACCTGAGCATCTCATTCATCTGAGTGAGCTTCTTTGCCATTTCAGGATGGTCAGGCCCATGTTTGTGTCCACAGTGGTCCACGCCGAGGAAGTGAGCAATCAGCATGTCCCATTCACCACTGTCCACTGCAGAACAAGAGCACCCTTATCACATGCTAGCCTTGGGTTCAGAACAGGCGCTATGCTTGGATCCTCTCATCAGAGCTTTCTGGTTGCCTCTGGAAACTGCTATTTCTTCCCCTCCTGCCATTGTCACTCCCAGCTCTCAAGCAGATGGATGCAGGTTTTAAGAGGCACACTCTTGGTCTGCAGGTGCCAAGCAATACTGCAGGGAGTTCAATGCCCAGCACTGCCCCAGTATCCACGGGTTTTATTCACCATCCTGCAGTAGCAGAATGGCCCAAGTCACATTGAAACACCCTTAACTCAAACACCCACAAACTGTGCTAAACCAAAGGGATGTTCAGAAAAAAGAGAACCCAGAACACCAGTCCTCGCCTGGAGATACTTCAAGTTGGACTCATCAACATGCCCCTCTGCATCCCAGTCAGGATATGGACGCAGAACACCAGCCAACGCCCTTCATAGCTAGAAAGTTACTCCAGCCTCTCCAGGAAAGTTACTCCTGCTTCAGGGCTCTGACACATGAAAACCAGCATATTTGTAGTCAAACAATGAATACAGAACCACAAAGCACAAGGACACCCCTGAGAAAGGCCACTGCACCCTTCATTCACTTAGATTCATACATAGAGAAGGCAAAGAGCATTCCCCTGGGTCCCAGAATCTCAGAGAGGAGTCTGAAATCACCTAAAATTCACAAACCAACCTCACATGTCACCTTCCTCACAGGACTAGGAGCTATCCATGCTCTGCTAACAGCAGTACTGTGCCCCAGCATCCTGGCTGCATTTCCCAGAGCACTGTGTGCCTGCCTGGGCAACCCACATGTCAAAGCTAAGCTGCTCCTCCTGCTTCATCTTGGCAGTGTGCATCTAGGACAGATGCAGATGCCTAACCTCATCCCATCAAGCTGCACCCTCACTCAAATGGAGGAAAGGTATTTACAGGAACAGTTTACAGGCCCGAAAAGCTGGCTTATCAGCTAGAGTACTATAAATCTCAGGCAGCAGTGTGTGATTGCCCAGTGCCACTTTGTAATAGGAAAAAATCATCAGCCCTACCCTAAACTTGCAGCACGACCCCCATATAAATGAAAAAATTACCATAAAATGATTTGGGTTGGAAGGGGCCTTAAAGCTCATCCAGTTCCAACCCCCTGCCGTGGGCAGGGACAGCTTCCACTAGAGCAGGTTGCTCCAAGCCCTGTCCAACCTGGCCTTGAACACTGCCAGGGATGGGGCAGCCACAGCTTCTCTGGGTAATCTGTGTGGCATGGTTTAAGCCCAGCCGGTAACTCAGAACCACGCAGTCGTTCACTCACCCCTTCCCTTCTTCCTCCCCCCACTCTTGGAGGGATGGGGAGGGGAATCGAAAGAATCTAAATCCCACAGGTTAAGAACAGTCCAGTAACTAAGGTATAGCACAAACCACTACTGCTACCACCAATAATAATAATAAGGGAAATAACAAGGGAAGAGAATGCAACCGCTCACCACCCGCCGACCGATATTCAACCTGACCGAGCAGTGATCTGGCCCTTCCAGTTAACTGCCCCCAGTTTGTATACTGTGCATGACGTGCTGTGGTGTGGAATACCTCTTTGGCTAGTTTGGCTCAGGGGCCCTGTCTCTGCTCCCTCCTGGCTTCCCGTGCCCCTCCTCCCTGGCAGAGTATGATAGACTGAAAAGTCCTTGATCAGAGTAAACATTACTGGGTAACAGCTAAAAACATCGGTCTTATCAGTGTTGCTCTCACGCTGAAATTCAAAACCACAGCACTGCACCAGCTACTAAGAAGGAGAAAAATGACTGCTACTGCTGAACCCAGGACACTGCGCCAGGGCATCACCACTGTCATAGGTAAGAACTTTGTCCTAACACCTCACCTCAATCTCCCCTGTCAGGCTAAAGCCATTCCCCCTTGTCCTGTTACTACCTGCCCTTGTCAAAAGCCCCTCTCCAGATTCCTTGTCGGCCTCTTTTAGATACTAGAAGACTGTTACAAAGTCTTCCTGAAGCCTTCTCTTCTCCAGGATGAGCAACCCCAACACTCTTAGCCTTTCTTCATGGGAGAGGTGCTCCAGTCCTGTGACTGTTTTCGTGGCACACATTGCCAGGTCGTAGTGACCTTCTTGTTAACCAACACCCTAAGTGCTTCTCCTCAGGACTGCTCTCAACCCAGTCTCCACTCAGCCTGTATTTGTGCTTGGGATTGCCCTGACCCAGGTACAGCACTTAACCAGGACTTGGGGAAAGAGCTGCTTACCAGTTGGATACAGATGCTGCAGGATCCCATCATCCACAGTGTGAAGATCCTTCACGTTAAAAGAAGGGAAGAAATACGAGCGGAAAAACTTCTCTGGGAAGAGTCCTTCCCAAGTGTCGTCACCCATGAAGACCACTCTTCTTCCTGAGTTAGCAATAAAGGAATTAATGAGACCAGGGAGCTTACCCAAGTCATGCTGTTATCCAACCTACTGCAAAGAGCCTGGGCAGATCCAGGTCAGGGCCTGGAGCACTGGCTCCTCTTCAACACACACTCAAAAGTGACCTAAAATTAAAATGACCATCTGGCTGATGATAAATGAGTTTGAATAGAGGCAGCAACCAGCCCTGTTTCTGAGCCTAACAGGCTCCCCCACACCAAGTCCACTTGCACCAAATCCACCTCTGACACATCACCCCAGCAGAAAGACCAGTGGGTTGAACAGGCCAGGAAGCAGGCCTGTTAGTACAGTACCTGCTTACCCTAACACAGCACTTAGGAAGGTTCAGCATGAAGCAGACAAACCCTTGCTCAAGGCCCCCTGTACACCACAAGGCAGTAGATAACCACTGACAGGGGGTGAGCAGAAGCCATGAGCCGTGCCTCCAGCTTATACTACTACGGTGGTGGGTTTTCCTACACAAAAAAAGAGAAGGCAAAACCACTGGTCCTTCCCACTGCCCTCGCTCTGCTTGCTCTGCCTGCCACTACCAAACCCTCCACATTTCCACGCAGCCTCCCTGGCCTGGGAGAAGAACTATTTCCTGCAAGGCTGCTGCTCTTGCACAACAAGGTCTGTCTCTGGTTTTCAACTTGAATGATTTGCTCAGTTTGGCCTCCTCGCTTGCACACAGGGTAGGGGACAACCCAGCCATGTCACCTCATCCCAAGCACTAGTATTTGTGTCACTCTAACCCCTGGAAGGAAATCTCTGGGGATAACACTGTGTCCCATTCCCTTCTCTCTGTTCCATTGTTCTAACTTAACAAGCCTTTTACAGCTCCATTAAGCACCAAACACCACAGAAAATGCAATGAGGTTGCTGCCCAACAGCCACACGCAGCCAGCCAGGCCGGCTTGTGCCTGAAGGACAGCCCCACAGCACATGCCTCCTCATAGGCACCAGCTCCTCCCTCGTAGTGCAGCTCACCTGAATGCAAACATGACACGACTGCCCTTGGCTTAGTGCAGCCGCTCGTGGAGGTGACCTTGTGGCAGTCGCCATCAGCACAGCCACTTTCACCTGCCTTCTCATCATCTTTGAAGATGATGAAGCCATGGTCCTAACTCCTTCCTACTCTCACTACAAGATGGAGAAACCCCGACTACATGATAACTGTCATCTGAGTAGGGCTAAAGAGTTAGCTGATAGGGTGGAGGTGTTGTGAGCAGCTTCCTTCAAAGGAGAGGGGAATAAAGGTCCTGTGTGAGCACTGGCCAGTGATCTGCCCTGTTCCCGTGGGACACAGCTCCTGCTCACCTACCGTTCTGCACTAGCTGTGCCAGCAGATTGTCCTCCTGGATTGCATAGGTGGCAAAGTTGCTTCCCACATCGATGAAAGTGGGAAGTGACCCGGTGGTGAGGCCCTTGATGCGCTGCATGGTGGCGGTGGGGGGATCTGCTCGGAAGCGGTAGAGACGGGCATGGCGGGGCTGGGAGGTTGTGAGGTGGTGCAGGAAACTCAGCTTGTTCTCGTAGGGCAGCGGGCTGGCTTTGGCTGGGTTGAAGCGGGCAAACTCGAAGCGTAGGGCATCAATGATGACAAGCACGGCCTTGGAGAAGCGCTGGGGTGCCCAGCAGGAGCCCGGTGGGAGGCTCTGTCTCTGCCAGGGTGGCGGCAGGAGCGGGTCAGAGCAGGAGCTGCTGCTGGCAAGCTCGATGCGGGTCAGCAGGAAGCCGCTCATGAAGAGCCCGATGCCAGCAAAGAAAAGAAGGCAGACCCAGGCCAGGAACAGCAGCACTGGCCACCGATGCATCCTAAGGGGAGGACAAGCAGGCTTGGGCCTGGCACCACCCCCGCCACTTCCCAACCTGAGACCCCAGCTTCACCGCATACCACCGGGCCCCGGTACTCCGGGACACCCTGCGGCCCAGCCCGGAGCACCCCGCCTTATCGGGCTGCTCCCTGACACCCCGGGCCACCACCTCACAGCCAAGCCCTTGGACCCCCGAACCCCAGCCTCCCCTCTTGTCCCCCAGCCCCTCACACCCTCCACACACCATCAGGACCCCCCAGACCCCCCCCGGCCTCGCTCACCCTTCCCGTTCCGTTCCGTTCCGTTCCGTCCCGTCCCGTCCCACCTGCGGCCGCCTTGGCCCCGCCGCCTTCCCCCGGAAGCGCCGCGAGTAGCACCGGCGCCCTAGAGCGGCGGCGCTGGGAACGGCAGCGCCCCCTGGCGGGGTGGAGCCGCTGAGCTCCCAAGGGTCGCGGCACCCCCGACAACCCCCAGATCCACCGCGGCGCCTCTCCTAATTAATTAATTAGTTGATTGATTGCTAGGGGTGTCCCCCTCCTTCCACTCTACAGAGGAGCCGCGGTCTCGCAGGGGCAGCTAGTGGGAGAGAAAGGGGACAATGAGGATCCCCGGGGGGAACTGGAGCAGCTCTGCTCTGGAGCCAGGCTGAGAGAGCTGTGCTGGGTCAGCCTGGAGAAGAGAAGGCTCCGAGGAGACTCAGAGCAGCTCCAGTGCCTAAAGGGGCGACAGGAAACCTGGAGAGAAGCTTTGGACAAGGGATGTAGGGACAGGACAAAGGGGAATGGCTTTAACCTGACAGAGGGGAGACTGAGATGAGACATTAGGAAGTTCTTCCCTGTGAGGGTGCTGCAGCCCTAAACAGGTTACCCAGAGAAGCTGCGGCTGCCTCATCCCTGGCTGTGTTCAAGGCCAGGTTGGACACAGGGGCTTGGAGCAACCTGCTCTAGTGGAAGGTGTCCCTGCCTATGGCAGGGGTTGGAACTGGATGAGCTTTAAGGTCCTCTCCAATCTAGCCCACTCTGGATCAGTCCTCTCTGCCTCGGGACGGGGTTGCCCAGCTCCTCCTGTATATCATTGTGTGTCTGTGCAAGCTCCTGTTAGGAGCCTGTTTAGGAGCGACAGTCCCTCTTCATTGGCACATGGTGGGGTCAGGCTCCCAGGGACCCACTGCAGCAGCACTGGTACCATTTATTCCGTGACTGAAATCCAAATACAAAATAAGGACTGAGGGAAAGAGAACACCTGACCAGGGAAGACAGCAGAAGAGAACTGCCGTATCCCAGCAGGTCCCGAGCGAGGGTGAGAGATGCTGCTGGCTCTGCTAGCTGGAGCCAGCCTGCTCTGCCTTGAGCACCTCGGTGGTGGGAGGCTGGGGCTCTTCACAGGCTGGAGGTGCCTCGTCCTGGGTCTTCACAGTTTGTTGCTTGGTCAATGTGCTGTAGATGGCCAGGGCCTGGAGGGAATGAGAGCCCCATGGAGGAGATGAAAGAGGAGGGGACCTGATCCCACTGGGCTGCCCCTTTCACATCCCATCAGGCAAGAGACAAGGTCCCTCCAACCACACTAACCTGTGCGACCATGTTGGTGACATCGCCAGTGTTGGAGGGCAGCAGGAGGGTGTTGGAGTCTTTTGCAAGATTGGAGAAGGCATTCACATATTGCTCTGCCACTGAGAGAGAGGCGGCAGCACTGCCATGCTGTGGACAGAGGGACAGGGCTCAGCACTGGGTCATGTACCCCCAAGGGATCACTCAGACCCCCACCCCTGGCTCATCATGGTCCCCAGGACAGCAAATCCCTTGCTTGCTGCTTTTGAAGTGCCCAAGAGAAAGACAGGTACCAGCAATGGTTCTACCTGCCCAGCACCGAAGCGGTGGCTGCCCCAAGGAGCCATCACTCACCTGCTGTGCCAGAGCAGCTGCCAGTAGTTGAATAGCCTCTGCCTTCGCCCTGGCCTTGACCAGCATGGCGTTGGCTTCTCCTGCAATGAACCACAACAGAACACACATCAGAACTGCCACAAAGTACTTGCAAGGAGAAAATCAAGGCTTTCAAGTGTGCAAAACCTCCTCCTCCCCAACAGCAGCCTGGCTGTGTTCCTGCCAGACACCTCCTGCTGCTCCAGGCTGTGGGACAGCCACAGACAGCTTTGAAGGCCCCAGCAGGGAAGAATCAGCATGGCTGAGGAAGCCTGGCACACAAACAGTGATGCGGTCTCTTCCCAGGAGCATCACCCCTCAGTGCAGATGGCTATGGAGCCCCAAATCCTAGCCTAGGTGCGCTACCAGCAGCTTTGTTGATCTGTTCAGCTTTCTCAGCTTCTGATGCCAGGATCTGGGCCTGCTTCTGCCCCTCAGCCACATTGATAGCCGATTCCCTCGTCCCCTCTGACTCCAGCACTGTTGCCCGCTTCCGTCGCTCTGCCTCCACCTGCAAACACAGGTTGGACACCACGGCCATGCTGGAGAAATCCCACCCATGGGGCAAGACAAGAGACTTTTCCCTCTTGTTCCAGACCACTCTACTAGGGAGCCAAACCTGCATCTGCATAGATTCTTTCACACGTGGGGGTACATGGATGTCCTTGATCTCATAGCGCAGGCACCGGATGCCCCAGCAGTCTGAAGCCTGGTTGATGGCATCCACAATGTTGGCATTGAGGGACTCACGCTCCTGGGAGGCACAAAGAGAACGGCAGAGAGCAAAGAAGAGGTGCTTAGGATGAAACAGAGATCAAGGGGGAAATAGACACCGTCCCTCACAGGCCACCAACAGCCAGAAAAAAAACATCTCCGCAGGCATAAAGCAGTGTCACATGCTTCCCACATCTCTTGAAGGGGTCTCCATTTCCTAAGGAGGGAAGTGCCCCAAACTGAAATTGCTGGGATACAAACACTGGTGTACACATGGATGCAAACACTGTGCAGGAATGCCAACAGCTCCTGTTCCTGCTCAGCAAACACAGCATGAGGGTTGCAGCCCCCATGACCCAGGTCATTAATTCTGGGCTTGACCAAAGTGTCACTGTCTGAAGAGAAAGGCATCTGGACCAGCTGGATCTGGGCACATGCCACCCCATCAGCCTTTCCAACGAACCCAGGGCAAAGGATTCACTAATAAGTCAACTGGAAACAGAAGCCAGAAGCCCTCTAAGCAAAGGGTGTTTTGCTGTTAAGCCCATCAGCCTGCCCTGGGGCTGAGGGAGAGGCTGCTTTGTGATCTACCTCCCCAGCTCACCCGGAAGACTCTGTCGAGGGAAAGTTTGCCAAGTTCAGATCTCATGGTGGTCTGGGCCAGCTGGGTCACTGCGTACTCAGGATCTTCCACCCCATAGCTGGCCTGGAGAGCAGGAGCAAACAACAGAGTCAAATGGCAGTGCTGAGAAGGAAACCCCTGAACAAGGCAGGATGGGAAAACAAGAAACCTGCTACAGACACTCCTGCCAAAGAGAAGCAGAGTCTGGAGCCACAGGAGGGATTTGGGTGCTCAGCCCACCCGCCTCACGGGGCACAGCAAGCGAGGCAGAGGGTGAGGCGTGTGCTGAGGGAAGAAGGGAGCCAGTTGAGCAGCACATCACACACAAGCCATGTGGGGCATAGCTCAGAGGCTGCAAGTTTGGCAATACCTTGTAGGGGTCCATAACCCGCAAATAGAGCACGCCATCGATCTGGAGGGTGACATTATCTGCCAGGAGAGAACAACACATCCTGTTTACTGCAGCAGCAAAGACAGAACATGGCAAATCCCTCTCCCTCAGCAGAATCAGCAGAGGTGGGCAGTGTCATCCCTTTCCTTCCTGGTGTAAGGTGCAAGGCACAGAAGAAGGACTGGCCGAAAACAGATCTCCTTGCCTAAGAGGCTTTGTAAAAAGGACGTGCCTCAGAAAACACTGTATATTGACTATTCTAATAAACAAGAAGTCTCAGGTTTCCAGAGCAAAACATTTCATGCCCTAATTACGTTCATTAAGATAGAAACAGAGGAAAAACAAGACACAACAAAACTGTAACACTAGAATTTTAACAGAGCTGCCCATTAACTTGATTTGAAATCTTTTTTTTCAGAAACACAGAGGGGTTTTTGTGGTGCAAGACAGGAAAACATCTAAAAACCAGACTGCTACCTTAGTACATTCAATCCAGCACGAAGAGGCAGCTGAAGCCCCAAGAGGGCTGTCAGGACCTCCTGGGTCCTGCTATACTGCAGTTAGCTATACTGCTCAGGATCAGCAGTATAGCCAACCCAGGGACAGGGCTGAGTGCAGGAGCCTGGGCCATTTCCGCTTGTCCCCACAACGTCCTCTGCTTGCCCTAGATGCAGCAGCAGGAAAGGGGCAGGACACAGAAGCTGTTCCTTACCCAGGGTGACAGCTGACTGCTCTGGGACATTAATGACGATTTCTTTGAGACTCTGCACATAACGAATCCGATCCAGCAGAGGGATGAGGAAGTTCAAACCCTGGGAAAAGCGTGGGATTAGATGGCTGAGCCCCCTAATCTGTCCTCTTCCCCCCCACATAAAAAGCTGTGCAAACAAAGTACGCTACAAGCTGCAGATACTGCAGGCAAAACAAACATGCTTTACACATGGGGAAAACTTAGGTTTCTCAGTGCTTTCAATAATCCACCGAGGGAAATTAGTCTACAGACAGATCTGGAAGAATAAGCTTGGAACCCCCGAATCCTCGCACAGCTTTAGGAACCTGCAGAATCCGGAAGGGGAGAAGAGTGTCTCCTTACAGGCTCGAGGATTCGGTGGAACTTGCCCATCCTCTCCACCACCCAAGCCTCTTGCTGCGGCACAAACAGCACCCCAATATTCATAGGCAAGCTGGAGTTCAAGCGGTGTGGAGCTGGGGCCAGCCATGCTGCACGCTTCAGCTGATGGGAGCGCTGCATGAAGGAGAAAGAAAGGGATTGGGACCGGCTGCACCTCAGAGCCCTGCACGACCCCTGGTCTCCCATGTGGAATCACTGCTTATAGCCCTAATACACCAGGGCAGCTCTGATGCCCCCAACAAGCCCACCCGTGCTGTGTGAGGAACACAGGTGGCCCCTACAGGGAACAGAACCGGGCCCCAGAGCCAGTATGAGTGTCCCTGGGCTGTCCCCACAGGCATGGGGGCTCACCCTCATGCTGGAGCTTTCTCCACGTTCCCCCTTCCCTCACATCCCCACTCTGGGGGAGGAATAATGCCTCCCTGACACAGCCAGGGTGTGTGTGGGTCTCTTCTGCCCCATTCAGGCCCTACACTCTAGAATCCCAGAATGGTTTGGGTTGGAAGGGGCCTTAAAGCTCATCCAGTTCCAACCCCCTGCCGTGGGCAGGGACAGCTTCCACTAGAGCAGGTTGCTCCAAGCCCCTGTGTCCAACCTGGCCTTGAACACTGCCAGGGATGGGGCAGCCACAGCTTCCCTGGGCACCCTGTGCCAGCACCTCAACACCTTCACAATGAAGAGCTTCTTCCTTATATTTAACCCGACTCTCCCCTGTTTGAACCCATTGCCCCCTGTCCTACCACTACAGTCCCTGATGAAGAGTCCCTCTCAGCACCCTTGCAGCCAGCCCTCCTCAGGCACTCGAGGGCTGCCATGCGGCCCCCCTGGCCAGACCCATCCTCCCACCCCACCTCCCCTGTCCCTCCCCACCTCCTGCCCCGCTCCAGGACCCGCTTCCCCACGAGTGCTCCCTCAGCCCTCCCGGCCACCCCCATCCCACCCCACCGCTCCCCACACCCGCTGCCCCCCGTGCCCATTCACCCCCAGACCTTCTGTGCACCCCCCCGCGGCCTCACCTGCAGCAGCCCGAGGCCTGGCCCTGCCCGGAGCGCGGCCCGCGCCAGCATCGCCCCGGCCGCCCGCCCGCCCTCCTTCCCCTCCGCCCCGCACCGTGCCGCCGCGTTGCCCCACGGCCCCGGAAGGCCTCCGGGAGCCACCGCCCCTTCCGTGTGCAGCGCCCGGGCCTCCGCGGCGGCCGCTGCCGCTGGTTCCGCCGGTAGGAGCTGGGAGCGGGATCGGTTTCCGAAGTGGTGTTTATTAAATTAGAATCAAACACGGGAGGCTCCCCATGCTCCGTGTATCCCCAAACCCCCTCATGAAGGTCCGTCCCGGCTCCTGGTTGATGTCCCCTCTCCCCCGGACTCCCCAGGGCTCCTGACCGCCCTGCAGCGCTGCCCCACGTCCCTTCCACGCATCAGGCAGAGGTACAAGGCCCCTGTTCTTTGGCAATCTCCACCTCATCCCAGACCCCACATCCGCAGAGCCCAGGCCCCCATGCACGTCTCTCTGCCCAAGGACCACAGCAATGACCACGTCCCTGCCAGCCACAGCTCCTTTGGGGTCTGGCTTGGTCTAAAAGGGGTCAGGGGACAGGCCCCCGCCTCCCCAGGCTGCTCCTTCCCTCCCGTGCCCAGCAGATCTCAGCCCCTCGGAGGGGTTTAACACAGCCCCAGCGCAGCAGTCGCACCCGGCTGCTGGCAGCTCGCCCCCTCTTGCACAGCATCCACATACCCATTCACCCTCCCCATCCCCAGTCACCCTCATGATCCCTGCCCCAAGCCCTGCGCTGCCGGGGGGCCTCATCTGTCACCGACAGGATGGGGGGAAGAAGAGCACAGCACCTCTGACCCTCAGCACAAGCCTCCTCTGGGCTCCCAGCAACAATAAATACTAATAAATACAAACTCCTTCCACACTTCCTGCTCCCAATCCCGGTACCAGCGTGGGCAGCCTAACCCGGAGCCCCCCAGCAAAACTCTTCACTCCCCCCACAGCTACAGCCAAGTGTCCAAGGTGGGAGCAGCACTGCCAGAAGGGCTTGGGCATGTCCCTGGAATGCCAGGGCTGCTCCGCAAGCCTGGTTGGTAACGCCAGCCCTGCTGCAGGGCACGGTGTCCGCACTGCTTGGAAGCACAGCGGCACTTGGGGCGGGTGATCCTTCAAGGCAGTGCTTGCTTGCTGGCCCTTCACTCATCACTGCCCGAAGTGCTGGGCTGGAGGCTCCCCAGCGGCCCTGGAGGGTGCAGAAGGTCAGGCCCGGGGTGAGTAGCAGGGGTTCCTCGGCATCTCCGTGAAGGATTTCAGCTCATAGGGGATGCCCGAGTCAACCTCGATCGACTTGCGGGAGAAAAGCAGCCGTATGTCGTCATGAAGGTAGATCTTCCCCGACTTGGAGCTGTGAAACCTGCATGGAGACAAGAACAGGGACGTCAGGACACCGGGCACGAGCAGGACAGCTTCGGTGGGAGGCACAATCCCCTCACCTCCTTTAACCCCTGGTCAAGGTGACCATGCTCCAGTTGTGTTCAGAGGGACAGAGACACCCTTGGGCAGGGTCCCTGCTGCTCCCCAGGTCCAGGGGAGGGTCTCAGGCTGCCATCCCCCTTGCTTTGAGCTGCAGGCTTTGTGGAGACAGGGACATACGGGTGAGGAGCCATAGGGTGACTGTGGGGCAGGCACACATCCCTCCATGCACCTACCTCAGGTGCATCAGGTAGCACAGGACCCTGCGCGGTGGGCTGGAGCCTGATGGGTCCCTGGGGGCCATGGTGGCCCCTTCTTCCTCTCCCACGGGCACCAGGAAGATGCGGTGGCGTAGGAAGGTCATGTGGTTGGCAGGCATGTCCTGGAAGTCGTATGTCACCAAGAACATCTTCACCACAGTCTTGTTGGGGTTAAATAAGGTCTGGGGGCAAAGGGGTAGGGAGTGAGATTGGGAAGGATATAGGGATGGAGCCATAGGGCATGGATGGGGTATCTGGGGCCAGCACCAGCACCAAGGGTCCAGAGAGCCCTGCACCAGCCCCAGAGGGCATAGCCTGAGCCCACAGATCAGTCCTTTCCACCCACCTCCACTCCTGTGATCCCATCACATTCCATCCCCACTGCAGAAGACCCTGTCCCTCCTCACCATCTTCCTTCTTCCCTGCATCTCCCATCACCTTGTCTCCCTGCCAGCACACGAGGGACCCCACGCTCACCTCTGTTGTACTGTCTAGGTGACCATATATCGTAGAATCACAGATTGGTTTGGGTTGGAAGGGGCTTAAAGCTCATCCAGTTCCAACCCCTGCCATGGGCAGGGACACCTTCCACTAGAGCAGGTTGCTCCAAGCCCCTATGTCCAACCTGGCCTTGAACACTGCCAGGGATGGGGCAGCCACAGGCTCTCTGGGCAACCTGTGTCAAGGCCTTAGCACCCTCACAGGAAAGAATTTCTTCCTTATATCTAACCTAAATCTCCTGTGTCAGTTTAAAGCCATTTCCCCTTGTGCTATTACTAGAACATTCCTCTCTAAAAAGTCCCTCTCCAGATTTCTTGTAGGCAGACTACCACCTCTGCACAAGCTTTCTGACTGCTGCCCTGCCAAACAATGTGATGGAGTATATCCACCCGGGGGGGAAGCAGAGCCCAACCATTGCCCTCCCCACTGCCATGAAGAGGAGAGGGGAGAGAGGAGAGAGAAAAAGAAAGGGGAGAGGAGAGGAGAAGAGAAGAGAGAGGAGGGAAGAAGAAAGAGGAGAGACAAGAGAAGAAAGGAGAGGAGAGGGGAGTGAGGAGGCCAGGGAAGGACTCACCACTTGGATGGTTCCAGCTTTGGGGACACTGTAACCCTTCTTTCCCAAGGCCTCCAAGTCAATCACTCCCTGGGGCAAAAGGAACAGCATGTGAGAGAGAGAGAAACCTCACTGGGAGCCCAGCATGGGGCTAAGAGCTCCCCTTGCTAGGAACACCTGGCACAGGGCAGCAAGGATGCCCATCTCAGCCCCTCTTCAAACCAGAGGACGAACAAGCAGCAATACAGAGGTTATGGAGAAGCAACAGCCATGACACAGCTGGGCAGCAGCCTGCCTGTTACTATGCCTGCATGTCCCGGTTTTAGCTGTAACAGGGTTTTTTTATCCTTCCAGTAGCTGGTGTAGGGCTGTGTTTTGGCTTCAGTCTGAGAAAAACACCACCGATAACACACGGATGTTTTGGTTGTTGCCAAGTAGTGTTTATTCTGATTGAGGACTTTTCAGTCTCTCATGCACTGCCGGTGCTGTAAGCAGCCAGGAGGCAGTAGAGACAGACACCCAACCCAAAGCAGCCAAAGGGGTATTCCATACCACAGCTCATCATGCCCAGTATAGAAACTGGGGGGAGTCACCCAAAGGGCAGATCGCTGCTCGGGTTGGGATGGGTATCGTTCAGTGGATGGTGAGCAATTGTATTGGGCATCACTTGTGTTTATTGGGTTTTTTCCTTTCCCCTTTTAGTTTTATATTCTCTCCCCTCGTTATTTTCTTCTATTATTATTATTATCATTATTATTATCATAATCATTAGTAGTACTAGTAGTTTTACATTATACCTTAATTACTGGACTGTTCTTATCTCAACCCGTGGGGTTTACATTCTTTCAATTCTCCTCCCCATTCCACCCAGAAGTGGGAGGGAAGAAGGGGGAGCAAGTGAGTGCCTGCATGGTTCCGAGTTACCATCTGGGTTTAAACTACGACACTGCAAGGGGTTCCCTCTTCTCTCCCTCTTTGCTCTTGTGGGTTAAGCACCGCTCCCAGCACAGTGGCGATCTTCTCAGGCAGGGGGTTGCTTGAGCCACGCTATCCAGAGAGGCACATCCCCAGGATGCATGGTGCCCGGGTACAGCCCTCACTCACCTCCCCCGTGGTCCCAGCCCTCCCCTGTGTGCATACCAGGAAAGGCGAAGGCGCGCTGTGTTCGGAGACATCGAAGTAGGTGACATCAACAGGCAGCGTGGCGTGCTGGGGGCAGTAGGAGCCGCTGGCGCCAATCTCTGCTGTGAACCCCTCGATCCTCCCTGACGGTGCAAAGCGCCCTTTCAGGATGGACTCCTGAGAGAGGAAGGGGATGTTAGGGACCTTCAAACACCAGCCCTGCCCCTCGCCTCGAAGCTGCAGGTGAGATCACCCCTGTCCCCGCTGCAACCACAACTCTGCTTGCTCTCATGTGTCCAGACACTACCTGTAAGGCACCCTGGCTGCTTCCTCTGACACAAAGCCATCCATCTCACGCAGAGAAGCAGGAAGAGCAGCAGCTGTCTCAGCAGGGTCCAGGTACCCTTTATTTCACTTTATTTCAATTATCAAACTGTTCTTATCTGAACTCACAGGTTTTACCTTCCTATAATCCTCCTCCCCATCCCACCCTGCGAGGGAGAGGGGAGTGAGAAGTGAGCGAGTGGCTGCATGGTGCTCAGTTGCCACTGGCCTTAAAACACAACAAGGCTTTGGGGACACTCAGCCCAGCCCCACACCAGGGCTCTGGTCAGGTTCAGCCTCTCATGCCCATCACCAGCCCAGCCTGGAGCCCCTGGATGGGTGCTGTTACCTCAAAGTTGCCAAGCAGAGCATGGCTGATGGTGGTGGTGGCCCAGGGTGCTGAGGAGGACCTGGTGCCCCTCCGGAGGCTGCTCCGGAGATGTCGCCTTTGAAACAGGAGAGAACATTTGTGTCGGACTGGAGAGCTGCCCATGTCCCTGGAGATCCTTCTCCACATCCCCAGTCCCTTTCTTTGGTGGAGGTTGAACACACCTTCCTACCCCTCAGGAGCAGAGGAAACTCCCCACCGCCCCATAGCCTGAACCTCCCATGGGGCTGCAGGGTGCTGGGGTGTCTGAGCATCCCGAGCCCCCATGTCCATCCCACAGGGCTGCCAGGACACTCACGATTTGAGCCGCAGCTCGCTCTTCAGCCTCCTCCCGACTGCAGTACAGCCCACAGAGCTCTGGAGGGGGCACAGAAGTGAGAATCACATTAGGGCAGCAACCAGGGACTGACCCTGGGAGGTGCCATCAACCCTTGCCTTGCCTCATAGCTCCAGGAGGATGAGACAGGCTCTCATCCATGGGGAGCTGTCACTGGCCTCCGC